CTTATGTTCTTGAAATACTGAGTAAAGGGAATGGCTGAGAAGCCTCTTCTCTGTCTCTAGTATCAAATACACTGCCACTGACAAATCAAATGTAACCTCCAGTTTTGCTCATTAAGGGAAAGATCAGACTACTACTGATCAAGAGGGCATTTTGTAGATACCACTGGGGATAAATAATCATGTGATTTTGTATGTGAGAGTGATAAAAAGGAATTTTAAACCAATCCAGCTGTTACTGCCTGGCACATTGGATATAAAGGTCCTTAGCCAAGCTCCCAAATTGTCAGCAGTAGTTTTACAGAGTAGGGGACCACCTAAGACCCTGATACTATGTTATTGGTGCCTAGAAATTTGAGATGGTAGGGTCCCTGAGATAAGACTGCTCACTTCCTGGATTGTAGTTAAAGAATATTGTAATTGGAAGTATTAAAAACATTGCATCTCATATTGGGTAGGATTGGAAGTAGAGCGAGATGAGAGACCTTGGAACTGGCAGGTTAGTGCTGGAACACATCTTCAAGCAGCTAGATTTTGAGAGGGAATTACCCTCCCTTCCAGTCACCTTCACTGTCAGCTTCTGATTGGCTGGGGGAAAAACTGGTCTTGCGCAGTATTTGTCCCTCTCTCTCAGTGACATAGAGTCAGCTCTTCATTACCCATCCAGAGATAACCTAGAGTATATCATTTCAGCTCCCTATTGATGCCTGTGTCTTTGGGCATCCTCCCGCTTCAGGTTACCGTCTCTCTGCTTTATTGTGGGTGCAAACTAATTTTAATTATCAAAATATAGTGGGAAAGTGTGAATTGCCCCACCCACAAAAAAAAAGGAGGGTGGTAGAGAGGGGGTTTAAAGAAAATTCCTGAAATAGAGTGTGTTATTTGTGTTCTCTGAGTGATTGCTTCCATTCCTCTTCTGTGTAAATGACTTAGGCTATTTATATATTGGCAGGTTTTCATTTCTTGTAACAGACAAAAACCTTTTCATTCATGTCGGTTTTTATTAGTTGTTGTTAGGTGCTGTCAAGTCAATTCTGACTCATAGTGACCCTGTGTACAACAGAAGGAAACACTGCCCGGTCCTGCGCCATCCTCACAATTATTGCTATTCTTAAGTCCATTGTTGTAGCCACTGCGTCAGTCCATCTCATTAAGAGTCTTCCTCTTTTTCGCTGTCTCCTTTGCCAAGCATGATGTCCTTCTCCAGGGACTGATCCCTCCTGATAACATGTCCAAAGTATGTGAGGCATCTTGCCATCCTTGCTTCTAAGGAGCATTCTGGTCATAACTTCTTCCAAGATAGATTTGTTCATTCTTTTGGCAGTCCATGGTATATTCAATACACTTTTCCAGCACCACAATTCAAAGGCATCAATTCTTCCGTCTTCCTTATTCATCGTCCAGCTTTCACATGCACATAAGGGGATTGAAAACACCATGGCTTGGGTGAGGTGCAGCTTAGTCTTCAAAGTGACATCTTTGCTTTTCAACGCTTTAAAGAGATCTTTTGCAGCAGATTTGCCCAATGCAGTTCGTCGTTTGATTTCTTGACTGCTGCTTCCATGGGTGTTGATTGTGGATCCAAGTAAAATGAAATCCTTGACAACTTCAGTCTTTTCTCCATGTATCATGATGTTGCTTATTGGTCCGGTTGTGAGGTTTTTTTTTTTTATGTTGAGGTGTTATCCATACTGAAGGCTGTAGTCTTTGATTTTCATCAGTAAGTGCTTCAAGCCCTCTTCACTTTCAACAAGCAAGGTTGTATCATCTGCATATCACAAGTTGTTAATGAATCTTCCTCCAATCCTGATGCTGCATTCTTCTTCATATAGTCTAGCTTCTCAGATTATTTGCTCACCATACAGATTGAACAAGTATGGTGAAAGGATACAACCCTGATGTACAACTTTCCTGATTTTAAACCACACGGTATCCCCTTGTTCTGTTTGAACGACTGCCTCTTGGTCCATGTACAGGTTCTGCATGAGCACAATTAAGTGTTCTGGAATTCACACTTTGTAATATTATCCATAACTTGTTATGATCCACACAGTCAAATGCCTTTGCATAGTCAATAAAACACAGGTAAACGTCTTTCTGGTATTCTCTGCTTTCAGCCAAGATCCATCTGACATCAGCAATGAATCCTTCATTCCATGTGTTCTGAATCCGGCTTGAATTTCTGACAGTTCCCTATCGATGTACTAATGCAACCTTTTTTGAATTATCTTCAGCAGAATTTTACTTGCATGTGATATTAATGATATGTTCGATAATATCTGCATTCTGTTGGATCACCTTTCTTGGGAGTGGGCACAGATGTAGATCTCTTCCAGTCGGTTGGCCACGTAAGCTGTCTTCCAAATTTCTTGGCATAAACAAGTGAGCTCTTCCAGCATTGCATCTGTTTGTTGAAACATCTCAGTTGGTATTCTGTCAGTTCTTGGGGCCTGGTTTTTCTCCAGTATTTTCAGTGCAACTTAGAATACTTCCATCAGTACCATCTGTTCTTGATCATATACTACCTCCTGAAATGGTTGAATGAATGTTGCCCAGTTACTTTTTAGTATAGTGACTTCGGTGTATTCCTTCTATCTTCTTTTGATACTTCAAGTATTGTTCAATATTTTCCCCATAGAATCCTTCGATATTGCAACTCGAGTCTTGAATTTTTTCTTCAGTTCTTTCAGCTTGAGAAATGCCAAGCGTGTTCTTCCCTTTTCCTTTTCCAAATCCAGGTCTTTGCACATTCATTACATTCTTTTCTTTGTCTTCTGGAGCCGCCCTTTGAAATCTTCTGTTCAGCTCTTTTACTTCATCATTTCTTCCATTCGTTCCCCTTAGCTACTCGACATTCAAGAGCAAGTTTGAGGGTCTCTTCTGACAACCATTTTGGTCTTTTCTTTCTCTCTTGACTTTTTAATGACCTTTTGCTTTCCTCATGTATGTTGTCCTTGATGTCATCCCATGACTCGTCTGGTCTTCGGTCATTAGTGTTCAATACGTCAAATCTGTTCTTGAGATGGTCTCTGAATTCAGGTGGGATATACTTAAGGTCATATTTTGGCTCTCCTGGACTTGTTTCCATTTTTTTCAGCTTCACCTTGAACTTGCATATGAGCAATTGATGGTCTGTTCCATAGTTAGCCTCTGACCTTGTTCTGACTGATGATATAGAGCTTCTCCATCGTCTCTTTCCACAGATGTAATCGATTTGATTCCTTTGTATGCCATCCAACGAGGTACATGTGTATACAGTTACCATTTGTATTGTTGAAAAAAGGTATTTCCAGTGAATAAGTCTTTGATCTTGGAAAATTCTGTCACGCAATCTCCGGCATCGTTTCTGTCACTAAGGCCATATTTTCCAACTACCCATCCTTTTTTGTTTCCCAGCTTTTGCATTCCAGTCACCAGTAATTATCAATGCATCTTAGTTGCATGTTTGAACAATTTCAGACTGCAGAAGTTGGTAAAAAACTTCAATTTCTTTATCTTTGGCATTAGTAGTTTGTGCATAAATTTGAATAATAGTCATATTAGCTGGTCTTCGTTATAGGCATATGGATATTATCCTATCACTGACAGCATTGTACTTCAGGATAGATCTTGAAATGTTCTTTTTGACGATGAATGCAACACCATTCGTCTTCAATTTGTCATTCCCTGCATAGTAGACCACGTGATTGTCTGATTCAGAATGGCCAATACCAGTCCATTTCAGCTCACTAATGCCTAAGATATCAATCTTTATGTGTTCCGTTTCATTTTTCATGACTTCCAGTTTTCCTAGATACATACTTTGTATGTTCCACGTTCCAATTAACAGGTGTTTCTACCACTCATTTGTCAGTTCGTCATACTGTGGTAGCTTTCGTATTGCTGTGATGCTGGAAGCTATGCCATCAATATTTCAAATACCAGCAGGGTCACCCATGGTAGACAGGTTTTACCGGAGCTGCTACACTTAGACTAGGAAGAAGGACCTGGCTATACTTCTAAAAAAAATGGCCAGTGAAAGCCTTATGAATAGCAGTGGAACATTGTCAGAAATATTGCCGGTAGATGAACCCCTCAGAATACGATTGGGCAAGAGCTGCCTCCTCAGAGTAGAATCCACCTTATTGATGTGATTGGAGTCAAGCTTTCACAACCTTCATTTGCTGATGTGGCACAACTCAAAATGAAAAGAAACAGCTGCAAACATTTAGTTGTTAGTTTTCCTTTCATTCTTGGAGCAGATTCAGTAAGTGGTTGACAGAATGACCTACTAGATATGCATCTAGACGGTCAAGAGCTTAATTGAACTTCTTAAAAAGAGGAGATCAGACTGGAAGTCTTGCTGGCCTCTTTTACATCCTTTAGAACTTTCCTGGTTCCCGTTAGTTCAGAAGTAGAAGCAGCATGATGTTTCTTGTTTCCCCACCATCCTCTGAACAGATCAGGCAATAAATAGCAAGGATGCCAAACTTAGCTGTCAGTGCTTGAAGCTATTATGCTAGGTTTGGGTTTACTCTAGCTTTATTTTCCCTAGCTTGACAAAAATTGAAGTTGGTCTTTATGTGAGGAAACTGATGAAAGCAAGCCCTGTTACTCCACAGAAACCGGTCTTGTGTAAAGCTCAGATAGTTGTCATCTGTTACTGGATAGGCCTGATATCACTGTGGGCACGCAGATGAGCTTCTAAAAAGGAGATTCTTGAATGCATTTATAGGGCCTGCCTTTAATGTCTTGTGGTGCCCCTTTATTTTGTACCTATAGAAATCATGTCAGGAAATCCTGAGCCTGGATGTCAGAATGATTAAAAACGTGTAATCAAGATGCATGAAAGTCAGAGAGGATATCTGTTTCCCCTGAACTCAGATCCCTTGGATCCTCAACTTCTTTGTCACTCCTTTCTCGACAAACACCCAACTGAGGGTTTAGTTTTTCTTTTTCTGAAAAGTAAATAAGGACATTTCTGCCCCTCGGGTCTCCCTCACACAAGTTCTTCATCTTTCCAGATACCTCTAACTTATTCGGAAACAGTGGGGCCAAGACATTTGGTGGATTCGCCAGCTCATCATTTGGAGAGCAGAAACCGGCTGGCACTTTTAGCTCGGGAGGAGGAAGTGTGGCATCCCAAGGCTTTGGGTTTTCTACTCCAAATAAAACAGGTACTCCTATACGTATGAGTTACGGTTACTTTGATATTTGTATGTGCATAGATATCTGGAAGGCGATACCTCTGGGGTGGTTATCTCAGGAGAATAGAATTGTAGTATGGATGACGTTATTCCCCCCGCCCCCAATTTATTTTTGTATTTTTTGAGCATTTACTATGTTCCTAACACTGCTGCAGGCCTTCTGACACATGTTAAAAAGCACAGAATACATGTAATGCAACCCATAAGAGAACTTAGAGTGTTCTTAGGGAAGAAAGCATTGTAAATATTTAACAGTTACAGAACAAACAAAATAAGGGAACATGTAAGAACATGATAACTAAAATATAAACAAGAAAGCATCCTGAGTCATGCACAGACTTGCTTGAGGCTCGCATTACCTGTGACAGTCAAGACAGAGTATGTTCAATTTCTTATGCCTATACCATTTTACCTCACTTTCCCAAATCTTTTTTTTTTTTTTACTTTTAATTGAAAATAACATGTTTATACATTACATATACATGTACATATACAATATCCATATATCATAAGTGTTCAATTAATTTTCACAGAACACACCATGTAACCAAGAAAAAAGAATATAACCATCACTACTTTTTATCCAAGCATTATTTTTAAAGCATAATTTATAAACTGTATGAATTTTTTATAGTCATGTATTACATTTATATTTTAAACTTTTTTAAAGAACAATGGATGTTTAGATAAAAAAAACATATTTCTGTCAACTGCCTTTCTGTCCTATTTCTGTCTCTGAGATCTAGAGAGGGTCTATATTCCTGATCCTGTTGTGTGGAAAATTAGATGCAAAGATTTTGTTTTAAAGGCAGGGAGTGAGAGGAAGGATATTTGCTGAGAAAGCAACTCTTTAAAACAAACTCTCTAATTATCAGCAGGCAGAATACTTCTTTCCCTTGTATATGGGATACTTTGAAATCATGCTAACTCCAGAGGAAGGATCCTTCCAGATGCATAGGTGGCTCTGACTTAGGAGTGGGGCCACCCCAAATTAGTGCCTGGAATAATAACATTTTAGATCCTAAACTGCTGTGGTTTCTAAATGCACTGTGCACCTTATTTCACACCCATCACTTGGGCAGTTCCGTCTTTGGTTGTCAGTTTTTGATACTCCTTTTCTAGAATTTAAAACAGATTAGAAATGGGCTTTGCAGCTTTGTTTATTTTGGCCATCCCCCTCCCCCAGTGAATGATTTAAAAATGAAAGGGCTATAAAGCTTTGGCCCTAGTTAACAAGGCAAATTTGAACAGTTGACTGAATTTTTAGTTCATTAATCATCAGGACTTTCTCTTTATTTTTTTTTAAGTAACCTGGTAATGTTTTCTTTATGTTTTTCTTATATGTGGTACCTTATCCTGACATCTAGTCCCAATTGATTTGAGAATCTGACCCTTTTATTTTTTGGGTCTTAGAGAAAATGCATCCTCCCACCTTTTAGAATATCTTTCTTATTTGATTATTTGACCTATAAAACCACCTAGATTGAGGACTCCAATGGAGAAAGCACTTCTGAAATACATGAGGTAAATAAACTAGTTACCCAAAATGTGCAAGTGAGCGTGGAGGAAAGACCACTCCCACTTGTGTCTGCTGCTGCATTTGTTTGTATTGGTGTACAAAGAGCTCCTTCTACAGAAGGAAGTGCCTCAAAGTACTGAGCATAAGGAAAGGCTGCTTTAAATAAAGAAGTTAACCTTGCCAAGGCCATACAGGCACCCTGAGGCATCAGGATTATCACCTCTTGCTTTAAGAGTGATTTTAGGTTGATGGTTTGGATGGGTCTTTGAAAAATTCCAAAAGTGTCCATCCTCCTTTCAATAAAATTGCATTCGAAAATAATACTGATGGAGATTTTTGATGGGGGTGGAGGGGTGGGTAGACTGAAAATGACATTGCTGTCGTCCCTGGTCCAATGGTTTACATTACTGTCCTCTCACAGGAGCTGTTAGAATGACGTAGATTTAGTGGAAGTGGAGGGGGGCAGTGTGATGCATAATGATTAGAAGATAGATGGGCTTTTGAATTACTCAGAGCTAGACCAGTCCCAGCTCTGTCACTTACCAGCTGGTTAAATTTGGGCAAGTGACATTCTCCCAGCCTCAGTTGTTCATCTGTAAAGTAGGGATTAAAGTGAACTCTTGTAAGGCACCTGACACCATCCTGGCATGTAGCAGACCCTCAATAAATTAGCAACTTTTATTATTATCGATTATTGTTAAGTTTCTGTTTCTTCTGGAGAAGAAAATCATGAAAATTTGGCATCTAATAAAATCTAATCCCTCTTAGCATCAGGAGTTAGTTGCCTGACTCCAAAAATAAGACCCAAGTTTGTTGACTCAGGCTAGCTGTTGTTTTGGGGCATTTTCTGTGTGTGTGTTTTATTTATCCCCTTTCCTCCGCTGTCCAGTTTACTTTCTGTATCATTGTGACTTCTCATTTTTCACTCATCTTCCACCAAGAAGCCTAAACAGTATTGAGTAGAAGACACTAGATAAAGCACTGTGTGTCCAGGAAGAACATGTAACTAGATCTAAGATCAGTCTTAAATAATTCAACTGTGACGGTTTTTAGCACTTTTTTTTTTTTCCCCCAGTCTGTTATATTTGTAACCCAACAGTTTCCATTGTCATAGCTTGGATCTTCACTCAGTGTTTTAAAATGCAGAATGTTAACCCAAACATGAGCGTTAGCAAGAAGTATTTTCTCAGTTGTGCAACCACTGTTAATGGTAAATAAGTAAATAATTAGATTACAAAATAACGATCAACTAAAGCATTTAGCTGTAGCTTTTCGTATGCTGTATTTGATCTTCCCTAATTCAAGTAGCAGAAGCTCCCGGTGTGAATATGCTTGTAATAAAATAGCCTGATTCATCCCACTAGTAATTAGATTTACTTTCTGAAAGGGGCTAATCATCTACTTGGTTGTTACTAGGCCACCATTACTCCCTTTCACGTGTGCTCACCGATCTCTACTCATTTTAAGGAATACTCTACTTGCTATAGGGGGTGATCCCTTTAGAGCACATTGACTGCCTATTCTGATACCTTAGAATGATTTAAGCAGCGGTATCTTGGAGGAGCAGAAGGAGTCGTTAAGCGAGGGACATTATCTTCTCACCTGCTAGGCATCCCTGCCAATCAGAGAAGGCTGCTGCCCTGCATGGCCTGCGTCTGTTCTGTGTGATCACAGGCCTCTATGCTGCCCTCAGGCCAGCGTGGTATCCAGTGAGCATCGTTGCTGGGAGCTTGTAAAAGATGGCTCGGACTGGCTGCTGTCCTCATAGTTGCTTTATTACTTTAGAGTTATACAGCAGCCTTCTTCCAGAGAAGAAATTTGGTATGCTTTTTATTGAGGAGTAGTTCCTGACTGCAGAAAGAAGGCATTTTTTAAAAAATTCTTCTATACAAAGAGAGAGAGAGTCTCTGGTGAGAGATGTGAGGCCATTAGGCTTTAAATAAATAAAAAGCACCTGGCTGAGCATCGGTGCTATGCATCTCTTCATTTCTGCGGTAACCTGAGTCACGGAGTCTTCCTGAGAGGGGGTTTGCAGCCTCTCATATAGTTTGGCTTTCCATGAAACTAGATCCCTTGCCTATACATGTTAATAAGTAATAAAATCTTTTGACAGCTGGGCAGGGGTTGGCGTTCTTGAGAATGTTTTTTTTTCAATGAGGAATCTCAAAACCGCTCAGAGGAGCTGAGAAGGGATCTGAATACACCTGGTTGGTTTTGGGTGGTGATCTGATTTCCTAACACTATTCAAGCTAGTGACACCCAGCTTGCCTCCAGAAGGGATTGGGGCTCTCTCAGACAAACACAGGGTCATGCCAGACAGACACTTAGAATTCCAAGGAACTCTCCCGAGTGAACTCCAGACCCCGCTGTTAGAGTTGGACGGAAGGTGGTTTGGTTTTCTGTTTTTTAAGGTTTTATTATTTTACTGATAGACGGGTGTTGCCCTTTGTTGTAGTTCTTTGTATTTGAATTTCTAACATCATATTTTCCTTCCTCTTTTGATTTGGTTTCTCATCATTCAATGTCTTCCTGTCTCCTCTTTTCTTTCCCCATTTCTGTTTGTTTGCCTCTGTTTTGCTCAGGTGGCTTCGGTGCTGCTCCAGTGTTTGGCAGCCCTCCTACTTTTGGGGGATCCCCTGGGTTTGGAGGGGTGCCAGCATTCGGTTCAGCCCCAGCCTTTACAAGCCCTCTGGGCTCGACGGGAGGCAAAGTGTTCGGAGAGGGTACCGCGGCTGCCAGCGCAGGAGGATTCGGGTAAGCCCCCTGGGGTGGGGGGAAACGGGGACACCAACAAGCTTATGCCAGCCAAAAGAGCTGGAGCCCTGTGCTCTTGTTTTGGAAAGAAAGTTCTTCCATTTTTCCAACTCTTGACTGTGAGCTGAACACCTGGCCCTCCAAATCAGCAAACAACTTGCTCCAGGATTCCTGATCCTCTGTAGGCTGAGGCTCATTTTATCAAGCCAGGCTCTGTTGAATGTGTGGATGGGCATCAGCGGTGTTATTGTCCCCTGACGTGTAGAGTACTGGTTGTCAGAACCCCCTTCTCCTTGGTAGAGCTGGTTAAAAGAAGATAAATAGTCTTGCCTTGGCTACTTCATAGCCAGGACTGCCCCTTGTGTGGTAACTTCTTTTATGAAGTTCTGAATGAATAGTTTTCACAGATTCTTTCCTCTTAGAATTGTTCTGCATTAAACCCATTGTCCTTGAGCAAACAACTCCTTGTATCCCTGCTCCACTCCAACCCCCAAAGTGGACATTCAGTTTCACAGTCCCATAAGCCAGCTGCTAGACTAGGCACTTACCCAGCATCCTAACACGCTGAAGAGTTTTAATGATTGCTCAGCTTTCAAAGCCGTTCTTTCTGTCCTGTGCACATCCTGACTTGAAAATGCCATAGTAGGGATTTGCTTTTAAGGGCCACAGAAATTCAGTCTAGTTTTCAAAACCCCAAGGAGAAAAATCACCTTTTACCACACCACGAAGTCCCAATAAAATGTATGTGGTGATGACTACAAATAGCTTCTAATGCAAGGGAGGTATTAATGCCTGAAAGTGACTCTAATATGCCTCTTGCCCTTGGAACTGGGCTCAAGAACGGGAAAGCTAAAGAGTTGAGGGGGCAGGGATGGTTTTGTTTGTAAGGCTTGCAAGTAAGGGTACTTGGGACAAGCTTGGCAAGATGGTAGTATCTTTATCTTGAAAATAAACTGAAAGTATGTTTTGTAAATATCTGAGGTCAGGTCTGCCGCTGTCCTCACTCAGCTGAGTTGGCCGTGAGCAAACCCTGACTTGAACTTCGCAGACAAGAGGGGATAAAAGTGACCTGAACCCAAAAGTTTACATTAAAAACAAAAGTTGCCATAGCTTGGAAACTTTCTTACCTCTCTCTTGCATGTTCAGGAGAAATGACAGGCTATAAATTAAAAGACTGTACATTTAAGATAGTTTGACCACAAATTTCCAATGCACTTAATGAACCCGTTTCTTTTTATGACTGGTTTAAACTGTGTTCTTCTGCCACAACAAGGTACGACAGACTGAGCAGTTGTAGTCCCCTCCCTTTCCCTTCTACTGACTCTTTCGTTGTTCTCTTTTGCAAAAGACGGGAAGGCATAGTTAATCTAGCGGTAGTTTGTGACAAAGGGGAAGTTTGTCCCGACCTCTCTTTTTTTATTTAATTTTTAGTTTTTTTTAATTGAGATACAATTCATATACCATAAGATTCATCTTTTTAAAATGTACAATTCAGTGGTATTTAGTATATTCACAGAGTTGTGCAACCATCACCACTTTCTAATTCCAGAACATTTTCAACACCCCAGAAAGAAACCCTGTACCCATTAGCAGTCAGTCCTCATTCTCCCCTACCCCAGCCCTGGCCACCACTAATGCCCCAACCTCTTATTCATACCCTTTACCGTCAGTTGCTAACCAGAAGGTTGTCAGTTCAGATCCACCCATCCACTCCGCAGAAGCAAGACCTGGCGATCTGCTTCCGTAAAGATTACCAAAAACCAAACCCATTGCCATTGAATCAGTTCCGACTCATAGCAACCCTGTAGGGTTTCTGTCCCATCGGGTTTCTGAGGCTATAAATTTTTATGGGAGCAGACATCCACATCTTTCTCTTGCTGAGCAGTGGGTTCGAACCGCCGACCTTTTGGTTAGCAGCCAAGCGTTTAACCACTGCACCACCAGGGCTCCCTTCTGTAAAGATTACAGCCAAGAAAACCATGTGGGGCATTTCTGCTCTGTCACGTGGGGTCACTATGAGTCAGAATCAACTCAGTGACACCTCACAACAGCCACCACCCATGGTGCTGGTGCAGAATGCTTGAAAGTTTCAAGGAAAGTGAGCAAGTTTATGTATTGCTTCTTGGATTTCATGTAAAGACTAATGGATCTTTTAAGTCTCCCCTCAGGAAACCCCAGTAATTAAAGTTAAGGAAAGCTTTTAAAGGAGACTTAGGAACAGACTTAAGCTAGTATTCTTGGCAGGTCTTGATGGACCCTGATGTCTACAGTGACTGCCTAGCACATATTATTGTATAGTTGGTGAAGGTTTTGGGTTTACTGGGGATCTTGAGGTTTTATTTATTTATTTGAAACCAGTTATTTTCTTTATTAGTAGAAAAGTATCATTTTCTGCTTTGGGGTGGCTCTCTGGTATGAATCCTGCCTGACTAGCTGGTTAGTTCCATTTTGTAAAACAGGATTAATAAGTACCTGTTTTGGTATTAAATCTCCAGAAGAGCTGTTTGCCATGAGACCGTCCCTGACCCTGGCAGTCCATCTGAAAAGTCTGTACTGTTGTGAAGGAGAGAGAGACTCAAGGCAGGAGTAGGAATAGAGCAGGGCCAGCCAGGGCCACGGCTGGGGGAAAAATGCATTAAGTACAGGCACACAGTGGTCTTTGCTTGTAAAAAACACTTTACCTCATTCGAGAAGAGCTGAAGATAAAGAAGGAAGGGGGAGGGGAGTTGTAGATAAATGAGAAATGCTAAAATAAAATGATGGAATAAAATTGAAGAATTGTTGGAGATAGAGCAAGAAATGTGGTGCTGCTTAATTTCCAAATGGCCTCAAATTTCCAGACAGTGGATGAAAACTAAAATATTGGACAGGTTGGATTTCCTATTGTATTCCTGTTATTTTTCTTCCCAAAGCTGAGAGAAAGTTTTGCTCTGTGCTATAGTCTATCTTTCTGAGGGGCTGCCTTTATAAATCTCAAGTAAGTAACCTCAAATGATGGACGTCATTGCCACCTGAGTTAGGTCAGTGGACTGAGGCATTCTGGTGGCCAAGTAACAGTGTAGCCACCCTAACCACAGTTTCATTTCTTATTGGAATCCAGGTTTGGGAGCAGCAGCAACACCACATCTTTTGGCACCCTTGCGAGTCAAAATGCTCCTACTTTTGGATCACTGTCTCAACAGACTTCTGGTTTTGGGACACAGAGCGGTGGATTCTCTGGTTTTGGATCCGGTGGAGGAGGTAAGCAGCCATTCTTCCCTCACAAGCACCGCCTACCTTTTTCCTCTTAGGTTCTACCCTCAAAGGAAGGCCTTATCCCCCAAACAAAGGAGTATTTTTTACCTAGCTATTCAGTTTAGTATTTTTAAAGCTGAGAGTCATTTAAAAATGAAATGTTCTTTTTAGGTTTTAATTAGACTTGTAACATTGTACGATTTGTTAACAAATAAAGAAATGACTGGCTAGACTTTCTCTCAAGATTTGAGAACCAAAATAATACAGCCTTACTAAACTTTGGTTTAAAAATCCAAGCCAGCGGACTCAAAAAATGGGATGTAGAAACTTCACAAAATACCTTGCATTTGTTAACTCTGCTTCTTCAGATAGCAGAATATATGTGTTCTGTTTTTATTGCTTAACAAACTTATGGATACATAGTTAGGCATCATTATTTTACAAATGAAGAAACAAAAGCTCCAAGGGGTTAAGTGGTATGCTCAGAGAGTCACAGAGTTACACAGCAGACCCAGGCCTGGGGCCCGCGTGGCCCGATTCTTCTCAAAAGAGGAGGAAGCCAATGGATGGAAGAAATAGGAAGAACAAGTTTTCCTGCTGAAATGGATCTCTTTGGTACAGTGCAACTAAGTGAGAGAGACTGTGCCAGAGACCCTCTGCTACAACCAGGGAGGGCATAGGGGAAGACCCCTGAAATAGTGAGACAACAGCGCTTAGATGTTAAAGGATTTCCCTCCTTTTCCTGATGGATCTGACCACCTCTGGAGAGAATAAAGCCACTTCTGCAGGTCCCTTGCTGCCCAGACGGGGGGTGCAGGTGGGGGGCCTTTCCATAGGAAATACGGGAGGAAAGAACTTGGCCTGGAGTCCACGTTTGTCTTTCGAGTGTTTTGACATTGCCCTTTCCATCTACTTTTCAGCATTCAGCTTTGGAACATCTAACTCGTAAGTATCTGTCCCCAGCTTTGAGTCTGACTTTCATTAAAAGCATTAAATAAGGATGGAAGAATGTGTGGTATATGAAAAGAAAACTATTGAAATACTAATTCTTGCTGAGTTTGTGCATTTCGTATCCATTTTTCTACTCTGTTTCAAAAGCTTGTCTTGGAAGCATGAGGTTTCAGTGGCAATGTTTGGGTTTTGACCTCTGTGCTTGTGGACTTGCTAATCTCCAAAGAAATAAGTCAGGAGATGCCAGTCCTGGCCTTCTCAAGGACAATAGATAAAGAGAAGAATGTGCCTTCCGAAGAGCAAAGAACTGGAAGGCAGGATGTGAGAGATGCTTCTTCTTTCACTGTTAGTGTCTCAGAAGCTTCCTGCTGACCACTGGGCTCTAGGCCATTAGCAAGCCTTATTTTTTTTCCTCTGGCAATGCTTCTGTGTAGAATTGCAGCAACATTAAAAATTCACAGTCTGAACTTTGAACACAAGTCAGTTGCATAAGCACTTCCACAGTAAGAAGCGGTCACTGATTTCGCCATTCTCTCCTGGTACTTCCTTGCAGGTCTGTCCAAGGGTTTAGTGGATGGAGAAGTTGAGTGGGTGTCGTTGTCCCTCTCAGTTCCTGTCACTGACTGGCTGCATTCTCAGATCCTCTCCACAGAGAAATCCTGAAGCCGGCTTCTAAAATGTACCTTCTCCATTGAAATACACGCATGCCCAGAAAGAAACAACAGTAACCAAAAAATCTAAGATGCTTGATTGCTTGTCTGTTTTGTTTTATATTTTTGTTTTGAGATTGTTTTTGTTTTTGTTTTTCTGTTATTAAACTGTTCTGGTCTGTTTTGGTACAGAATGTATTGGGTTTTTTCAGGTTACAGCCAAGGAGAGGTTTTCCCATTTCTGTGGCTCTGAGAAACCTACACAGCCTTCTGTCAGCCAGCAACGTGTGTCTTCAAGGATGGCATCAAAAGTAACCAGCATAGCATCTTGACAAACGAAAGGATTAGGCAGGGGCTTCTCACAGGGAATCTCCCTGACCACGCTTGGACCTAGGGCCCATGTAGAAGGGAAGTTGAATGCTGGTGGGCCACCTTCCTGAGGCCACAGCTTGGTGTCTTCTCAGCATGTCCTTTTTGCTGTTGTGTATCAGGACCCTCAACGTACCGACTCTTTGATTGTGCAGACACATCGGAACCCATGTAAGAGCAGGCATCAGTTGAGTTTCAGAGTGGTAATAGCACCATTAAGTATAGTTAGCTGTGAGGCAAGCATGGAAAATAGACCAGTATGAGGATTTCCATCTCCTTTCCTTGGAGAGTCCACAGCTGAGTTGTGACAAACAAGTATGCTGCCTTTGAACACCCTCATTGACCTTCATTTGGCTCTTGGGCACTGTGTGTCCCATAGCTAATTTCTTCTACCCCCCTGGAAAGGAGGTGGGCAGTTGATTGAGAAGGCAGCCTTTATCTCCAGGATGTGACAGTGACATTGGGAACCACGCCTAGCACTCTCTTAACCACAGAGCAGATAACCCTTGGGGAGACACAGGAGTTGTGAAGGCACTGCTATCTCCAGATACCACTAGCCAGACAGTGCTGGATTTGACAACAGTGCTTGTTAGCATGGCCAGTAAGAGCATAATTTCAGTTTTGTTAAAGTGCTTATTTTCCTATAATGCAGAATCTTTCAGGCCTGGGCATATTTTATTTCTTAGACCTATAATATCCTAGAGAGTTGCTGACAAACAGGGCTGCCCTGCCTCAAAAGCAGGGCTAAGAATTTCTCATCTTTCAGGCCCAGAATATGGCAGTGCTTTGGGTGGGATCATTAGCAGGGGAGGGTTGGAAAGGGGTCAGTTTAGAGTTTTGCATATTGGAAAGTTGTATTTTAAAATGTTTTAATAAAAGTTTTATATGTGATATTAATTTGTCATGTTACAACCAGTCTAACCTCGGTTCTGTTGGCTTGTATGGGGAGGGCAGACCAGAGTGGGCCTTCCCCTGTGGCCCAGCCTGATCTGGGGAGCCATATTCTGATGGGGTCTCAGACTCACCTGGGGAGCCTTTTGTAAAGTGCAGATTCACAGGCCTAAAGCTTGAGATTGTAATTCAGTAGTACTGAAGTTGGAGCTGGACCCCAACTGAATTTTTTTTCAATGGTATCTTAAGCTCATAACAAGAGGAGTCTCATAGTATAGCACTCTTGAGTTTCAGGAGCCACCCCCCGAACCAGCTGTGGGCAGACCTAAGAGCTGGAACTGGATCCCTGTGTCCGTGTCGATGGTCATCCCACTGTCTTTGCAGTCTGTGAGAGTAGAGTTGAGGTCTGTTCGTACTTGCCTTTACATTAGGGGGCTGCTACTTTTGAAGAGTTTGGGGCTTCAAAAGTTTAAGGTTAATGTATTCAGTCCTTGCAGAATTGATGGCCTGTCATCTGGTTTCACCCTGCTCTCACTTAAGGCCCCTCAGCCATTAAATGGGGGGACAGTTGGGTTAGTAGCTGTAGGGGGCCAGTCCCCAAGAGCCCTCACAGTCAGCTACGGGGTTGTCTCTCACATGTGCTTTCATTGTCCTATGCACAGTGCTATCTGAGACAAAGGGGCTCAAGTGTTGATGGGGAAAGCTGATGGAGGAGGGCCTAGTTTTAAAGTGAGCAGTGAAATTACAGGTAAAGAGAGCTAAATTCTGCCTTTGCATGTCTTCTGACCAACACCCAGGCCTAGCCAATCTTCTCCTACCCTTCTGGTTCCCCCTGGGGGCTCCTTTTTATAAATAGAAGCAGGTTCAGCCTAAACCCTTGACCTCAAATTCTCTACGTTAATCCTCTATTGAGGAGGCATGTGACATCTCTACATAAGGCGTTATCAGCCGTGCTTGGCCAGATAACTCCCCACCACTCACTGCTGAGGCGGGTGGCACCCGAGGAATGTGCTGCTGGCGGGTTACAGCCCCTCGAGTTCCTTTTTTGGGCTCGATTACAACGGTAGGTGACAGGGGTCATCTCGGAGCTCAGCCAGCATATATCCTGAAACCCATGCTCCTGGGATGTCGGACTGGGAATGTAGGAGAGGCCAGCAGGGCTTGAGCCTTTCCAGAACGAGGGCGGTAAAGAGTGAGGATGAGTGTGGGGTGTGGAAATAAGTGTCCTGCTGAGAAGACGGAGTCATAATGCCAAATAAGCCCGGTAGAGTTGTCAGGCACAGTTGGTTGAATTTATATTCAAAGGCAGGAAGGAAAAAGGGAGAGCAGATTAATGAGTTAGGCTGTGTTTTGCTTGGCTTTTCCAGACATAAATGTTGCACATTCATAATTGGTGCTTCAGTTGGCGGCACAGTGTTAAAGGCCATGGGTTGGGTTTCTCAGGGACAGGTAGAACCAAAATAACGAAGTAATGCCCATAATCCTGGCTCCTTATCTGGGCAGAAGTATGAAGTCCCCTTCCATATTGATATGTACCCTAGAGCTAGTGGTCCCCTCTGTGCCGCCCTGCCCCTCCCTGTATGAGGGTCCCAGTGCATGCCTCCAGAGAGAGTTCTAGATCTGGCCTCTAGAATCACGGAAAGGGTGTGTGCTGTGCAGGCTGATCGTAGCCCTACCCGTTACTAGCTCTGTGACCAGAACAAGTGGATTGACCTCTGAGTGTCCTGGGATATTTTCCTCTTAGCAATAAAATGGAAATTAGAATAGCTATCTTGCAGGGTGGTTATGAAGATTAAATGAGATGATACATGTAAGTAAGTGAGTGATCAGTAAAGTAAGTGATCAGTGAATGGTAATTTATTCTCACCTTGCAGCATCTTTCCCTGCACCTGGTTTACAGAATCCTAAATGATGGCTCAACGGTTAAGCACTCAGCTGCTAACCGAAAGGTTGGCAGTTAGAAACCACCCAGCTGCTCCATGGGAGAAAGACCTGGCGATCTGCTCCCAGAAAGATTACAGCCTAGAAAACCCTATGGGGCAGTTCTACTCTGTCACATGGGGTCGCTATGAGTCAAAAATCAACTCGATCGCACCTAATGACGACAACAAATGCATTTCTACTGAGGCTTCATTAGATTGGGGAGAAGGGGGGATCCTCATCTTCCACCTGGCTCTTGGGCCCCTTATCAAACACCAAAATGAATGCCCTGTGCCAGATGAGGAGGTCTCCCTCACTGTAAAATAGCTCTAAAGCAATGGTTCTCAAACCCTGATTTGAGATTCTGAGCAGAGCTGGGCTGGGCCCTTCAATACGTGTTTTTAACAAGCTTCCTGGTGACTCTAGTGCAGATGTCCATGGACCGCATTTTGAGAAACTGTTTCATCTAACCACGATAAACATAAATAGCTGCCGCCATCTGCATTATGAAAGATAGAACCTAACTCCCATGGAAATGTTTATTTTGCAGTTAATCCAGGGTAAGGGATCTTTTCTGAAATTAAGACGCACCAAGTTTAAAAGTAAGCTTCTCTCTGGGCACATGTTCAAAAAAAAGCAGCATCAGTATGACTCAGGCTGAGCCAAGTCATCTCCTTCCTGTTCAGGTAAGTTCTCCCCCAGTGAGCAGAATAGGAGGAAATATTCTTAACTTCATCCAGTCTCACAGTACAGCTCACTCCCACTTTGTTTCTGGTCTTCCACCTGGTCATTTATTCCAAATTAATGTATATTAGGAGGAGAAGGAGTATCTCTGACTTCATCCTGCCTGGGGTTGTCTTTCGCAGTATTTCTTTTTCTCCCTCATGTCATGAACTCATTGATTTTCATTTATAATTTCTAACAGAAGACCTGACTAGTCCTTCTAGGCATTTGGTTTTTAGCAAATAAAACTGGTTCAGATTCATGCTGGAGGCAGGCTTCCTCCATGTGTCCGTTTCTTCTCGGTTTGCTGTTAGTACATCTTGGGTGGAAGGAGGGGAGGGTATAGTGTGGACCCTGTGCTGTCTGGATGGGATCTCTCTGCCCCCTCTTATGCCCCTTCCCTGATTTGGCTCTTCCTTCACCATGTGGGAATGAAAGTAATTGGATTGAGATGGTGTCAGCTCTCAAACTTTTGCCATCCTCAGTGTTTTCCATGGGAAGTTAGTATCCTGCCCAAACAAAGAGCTCCATGGGCAAATGAGTTTGGGGAAAAAAATGAATGGAATAAAATTTAACAGATTTCTTTATTGAGGGACTGTTTTGATCCTTTAATATGTGAATATTCTTTGTAAATCAACAAGGTGAAATAGCCTGCTGTTTCCTAAGTGGTTTTGACCATGGGACCTATTCACTTGGAGTCAGGTTCCTTGGAACTCATCCCGGGAACTGTTGGACAGAGTATAGCTTACTTCCGGCAAGTTGTTTCTAACACCCATTCCTCTTTATTCGATTATAATAGTAGTTATGATTTATTGAATGTGGATTATGTGCCAAGTATTATCTGTTCTAAGCACTTCACAAACATTTTCACGTTTAACCCTATGAGCTAAGTACTGTTACCCACATCTTTCAGATGAGAAAATTTGTTTGAGTCACAGGCAAGTAAGTGGTGGCATCAGAACTAGAACTTGGGACTGCCCCCCAACCTGCTCTTCACGCCACTCCCCCACCTCAGCTGACTCAGGGAAGGAGCAGTCTTCTAGGCCTGTGCTGTCTGCGATTGGATCTGTTTTTCTTCCCCAAGATGTTCATTCACTGTAGAAGAGAACACCCACCTGCGCTCTCTGCCAGGGATGCTGCGGAGCACCTCATCATGCTTTTCCCCCTATTTACCTCGTGAAAATGAACCAACTTTTGACATCGATCACAGTAAATGTTCCTACTCTGCACACTTAACTTGCCCCCCATTCCACTGGCTCTAATCTTGTACGTATTTGTGATCATCATCTGTCTAAACTGCACCCTGGGGAAGGGGACATACACCATGTGCAGATGGCAGATGGGGGCTTTTTGATGAAGATGATCACACCCTTGTGGAATCAGCTGGCTCCGAGCCCTTCAGCTGTCTAGCGCCCCCCTTCCTTTGCCATCTCCTGAGGTCTGGCTTTGAGGCTTTCCAGAGTTCCACAGGAGGTCAGGCCACAGACCACTGAGATGGCAGTTGCTGCATTGTTCCAGCCCTTCTCTACTTATAAATAGAAACCCATCCATACCACAGCCCGGCCAGAGATTCTCTGCATTGTTTTTGGCCCTAGATTGCCAGCTGCAGAGAAAGAGTCAATGCGGGGGGAGACAGGAGGCAGAAGCCCATGCTGGAACCAAGCCGGGAGTCCAGCCCCAATCTGTTCTCACAGTGATTGGTTCCCCCATCCTGGCTGGCCTGACCTTGCTGGCTGGGCTCATCTTGGGCCACAAGGATGCAGAGGCTTTGCTTCCAAACCAAAAAACCCAAACCCTTTGCTGTTGAGTCAATTCTGACTCATAGCAACTCTACAGGACAGAGTAGAACTGCCCCATAGGGTTTCCACAGAGCGGCTGGTAGACTCAAACTGCCGACCTCTTGGTTAGTAGCCAAGCTAACGCTGATTCATGGCCGTGACTGGGCTTGGTTTTTGGTACAGACACCTAGAGGGAGCTTGGATCATCAAGTCCATCCTGACCATGTCCTGCAGGTTATGTGGGCTCTGGTTCCTGCCCACACCACCACCTCTCTTGTTCCATCAGTCTTCTCCCTGCTCTCAAGGCACAGCCCCTCTGAACTCTCTGTTTCTCCGTTCCCCAGATAGTCCATTCTCCCCACCTCAGGGCTGTTCACACGTGGTCAGCTGAGATGCGCCAGTCAGCCCACTCCCACTCATCCGGTGGATCTCAGTTTAAACCCCGCTTCCCCGGTGAGCCTGCCCACTCGGCTTCCTCTCACACTGCACTACTATTTTGGGAATACATCACAGTTGCAGTTACTTGTGTAATTAGTTGTTTGATCTCTTTATTTCGTCTATGTCCCCTCTTCTGAACGG